GGCACAGCTTCTGAGATACATGGTAGGTGCAGGAAGGGGAGAATTGTTGGAGACATTTTTAGCAGCTTAGCTGTTTGCTACAGGTCTCAGGCTAAAATTTCTTGCTAAAAATAGTTTGCAAAGGAACTTTGTGGCAAGTCAATAATAGCCTTATATACTCTGCAGAGAATTCTGTCTAGCCTACTTCTGTTTGAAAATGTTGCATGAAAAAAGTGCATGGCAAAATAAAATCCTGTTCAGATATGTGGAGTGGGGAAGTTAACTTTTAAGATTAAAAAAAGCAAAAGCTTCTCATATCATTCTGTGAAGAAGCATCAGGGTCAAACCAAAAGAAAATAATTACATGCATTTTTAAAGAAGTGTAATTTGGGATGTGACTCGGTAGTTTAGTGATGAGATAATTTTAAATGTAGCTTGCTGAACCAAATCAGCCTGCTGGACTTAAATCTCTCTCTCTTAATTTTCACATAGATTAATTCAAGCCTTAAATATCAGATAATGTTTAGAATAGGAATAGAGTAGGGTAGGATAGGATAGGAATAGAGTAGGGTAGGATAGGATAGGATAGGAATAGAGTAGGGTAGGGTAGGGTAGGGTAGGGTAGGGTAGGATAGGATAGGATAGGATAGGATAGGATAGGATAGGATAGGATAGGATAGGGTAGGGTAGGGTAGGGTAGGGTAGGGTAGGGTAGGGTAGGGTAGGGTAGGATAGGATAGGATAGGATAGGATAGGATAGGATGATAGAATTCTTCAGCTGTGCCCTTAGAAAATTGTCTTAACCTTACAAATAAAAATCTCATCTTTTATGAGATTTTCAGCACTGCATCCATTGCTTTGGAACCTGAAGAATTTTTTCCTGATCCATGTTTCATTCTTACTACTGAAAAAAAAAACCTCTGAGAATTGTTTCCCAGTTGAGGTGTCTGAGTAATTTCCCATTTTAAAAATACCAGGTGCAGATTAGTGGCAGTGTCTAGAGACTACAGCAATATGACTCATTTTCCAGTCACAGTGTTGCTGGACCAGATCTTTCCATCCTTACATACACAAGCATGAATCCATTCAGATGATCATGTTTTGCTTTCCAGCATAATCAAGTTTCTTGTTGCCAACATACAATGCTGTGAGCTTCGCCTTGACCTGTAGAGCGTTCACAAAGAATCAGTTGATGCAAATGAAAATAGCAAACTGTTCAACTAATTCTTCAATGAGAACAGCACATGGCTTATTAGAAACCTTTCCTATATTGCAAACCCTGTTGCAGCATTCAGAGAACAACTGTTTATCTCAGCGTTTAGGTATGAGCACTGTCAAAGTTGCCAGTAAAATTACAATCTATCTAATATTGTTTTCAGTATTAGCAGAAGAAAATATATATGAGCAGGTCAGCTGCTATGCCTTAGCTACGTCTGAGGAAAGAATTAATTTGCCTGTTCACACAAATACAGTAATCCCGTAAAGTCCACACAATCTATTCGTATATGATGCAATGCTCAGTTCTACTGTGTCTTTACTCACACCCTGAATATTTTTTGTTTATTAGGCAATCTGCAGCAATGTGCTCATCTTTTTTTAATGTATTGGAGTGTATGGCTTTCTGTCAGGTTGGAAAATCAATTTTACAAGAGCCTGAAGTATTTTACCAGAGGATCAGGAGTATGTAGTTGTTATTACTGACTGTAATATTTCAAGTAATTTTCACAACCTGTGATACAGCTAACAAGTAACTTGACAGTTTGCCAAGGCAGCACAGTTAGATTTGTTGAAGAGAGCTTTAAAATATTCATTAGAGCAGTATATTTGTGAATGATGTATGAAGTTAATAACAAATTCAAGGTTAAGAACAGTCTGACTTCTCAGAAGGAGGGGACAGAAACCCAGCTCTGTGAGAAGTAGTGACATTTTATTAGTTGTTTCTGTTTTAGCATACTAGTAGGGAATATTCTGATTTAACAGGGTCTTTTATTTAGAAAAATAGACAGGATCCTAAATAAGCCGGTCTTGTGAGGAAAAATCAAGTGGCCTTTGGAGAGAGAGAATTCCCTTTCCAGAAGGGTCAGAAGACTGCCCTGCGCTTAGCTTCTCTTTACTGTGAAGGTGAAGGAATAGCTGCTGTGTTTTCTCATGTGATTTTCAATTTTCAACTGCAGATGCAGTGTGTTCTCTGTCCAATACATCTGCTGCATGACTGCCCTTACCCATCCCAAATACACAGGGTCATGTGGATCTTCTGACTTTCATCCATTTCTGTTTATCCCTATAGTACCTTCAAGCAACCAAGAAATACTCAGGCCTTGCAAGTATTGGTGAATTGTATCTCATCAATTGGTGCAAGTGTGAGCCCACAGAAGGGCTGTTTTGTCTGTCTTTGCAAGTCCATAGAAGCATGTGGGTACCTACAACTGCAACAGACAATTTACTTAATGTGATGACACTGTGCCTGCTCAACCTCTTTGGACAATTGACAAATCAACCAAAAATTAAGTTGAAAAAGGAAGTTTCCGTGTTCATAGTTAAAGGAACAGTATTAAATTTCATGGCCTTGATAATATTTTGAACTTTGTAAGTTTGGGAATTGGTGGTATATGGGGAAGGTATTACACTAATTCAGGTAATGGTTTTATACTGCATTTAGGTTTTGTTTGGTTTTTTTTCCCCCAAATACAAATTCTTTCTTCAATAATTCTTTTTTTCCCAAGGAGAAAATGTGATCTGATGACAGCATAATAGGTCTCCTTTTGTCTCAGTATCACTGGTGATATGAAACAACTGGACAGAAATTAACAGAATTGCACAATTATTTCTGTAGTTACTGGAATCATTGTGATGCTATTGACTTCAAAAGAACACACATATACCCAAGGGGAAAATTTAGCACAGATTCAATTAGAGCATTGTTCTGAGGTCAAAATTTGGTTTGAGGATAAACTTGGATTAAGGTACCTGATACCTTTTCCAAACAAATGTAGAGTGATATACATTGCAAAGGAAAGGGGATTTTTTTCTTATGAAGAATTAAATCTGAACTATCAATTACAGCTTTATTAACGAGTATTTTAAAATAGTCCTTGATTAAAAATACCTACTGAATAAAAATAAAAGAACAAAATTCTGGCACTGAATTTCTGTACGAACACAATATACTCAAGCAACTATAAATTAGCATGTACTACTTTGTCACATTTATAATATATGAAAATGTCATTTCACAGGGACAGGCAAAGATGATGAAGGATGGAAAGGTTTTTAGAGTTATTCAAGAGAACTGCTGGGATCCAGAAGTACGGATTAAAGAGATGGACCTATCAGGTACCTCCATAAAGGAAGTTAATCATTGTGTCTCATTTAGAATAACAGCAACTTCTCTGTTAGTGCATCTGAAAGTGCTCAATAACAATATCAAAATTAAAATGTTTAGCATACTGATTCATTAGTTTAAATCTGTTGAAAGTCAGTGAAAACTGATACATTTTATATTCAGACTCAAATGGGGCATGTTCCCATAACGTTCCTCATTTTCATTAGCAATTTATTCCCCACATGGGCTCACTGATTTTGGTGGGATTTTTAATACAGTAGGGACCTAGTTGACATAAGTAAGGATGACTGACTGTGGACCTGAAAAGGCAACGTACATTCCAGGTATAAAAGTGATTTACATAAAAGAGGAAGCCCTTTCATTTTTGTTCCAAATGTTAAAAAGATTCTGTTTACTCCTAGGATTTTTTGTATGTTTGTTTCCTTTTCTAATTTTTTTTCTGTTTAGATGTTGCAGCTTCATTCTGTATTTTTGCTAGAGGACTCTGAGCCTAGAGAACTGGTTCAATTACTTTCTCAGAAAAGAGAGTTTTCCTGATTTAGGAAAAAACTTAACCATATGCCAAAGCAAATTTGTTTTCCATCAAGTTACTTACATACCACTAAATAAGGTTTGTAAGATGGGAGACTGAGAATGAGAGAAGGAACTTTTAGTCTGATCAATTATTTTTGTTAGTTCTTATTAACACTGTAATTCCAAATTACTTTTGTGAGAGAAATATTATTACTAAAGATTATTTTTTTTAGATTGAGGCCTGAATAATTCCCTACATCAGTTTCTCGGTAGACACAACTTGAATATCTTCTCCAGCTTTTCATAAGGAATGAACATGAGCCAGCACTGAACATGAGCCAGCAGTGTGCCCAGGTGGCCAAGAAGGCCAACAGCATCCTGGCTTGTATCAGGAATAGTGTGGCCAGCAGGAGCAGGGAGGTGATTGTCCCCCTGTACTCGGCGCTGGTGAGGCCGCACCTGGAATACTGTGTCCAGTTTTGGGCCCCTCACTACAAGGAAGACATTGAGGTGCTGGAGCATGTCCAGAGAAGGGCAACAAGGCTGGTGCAGGGTCTGGAGCACAGGGCTTATGAGGAGCGGCTGAGGGAACTGGGGTTGTTTAGCTGGAGAAGAGGAGGCTGAGGGGAGACCTTATTGCTCTCCACAACTACCTGAAAGGAGGTTGTGGTGAGGTGGGTGTTGGGCTCTTCTCCCAAGTAACAAGTGATAGGATGAGAGGGAATGGCCTCAAGTTGCATCAGGGGAGGTTTAGGCTGGAAATTAGGAAAAATTTCGTTACGGAAAGGGTGGTCAAGCATTGGAACAGGCTGCTCAGAGAGGTGGTGGAGTCCCCATTCCTGGGAGTGTTCAAAAAATGGGTAGATGTGGCACTTCGGGGCATGGTTTAGTCTAGCCTACCCTTGATTGGTTTAGTGTGGACTTGGTAGTGTAGGTTAATGGTTGGACTGGATGATCTTAAAGGTCTTTTCCAACCTAAACGATTCTATTCTATGATTCTATGAATAAACATCTGAATTACTTCAAAGAGCAGATATTTTATAAGTAGCATCTTTATGATTATTGTTTCCTTCTCTCATGGGATAGCATGTTAGGAGATACTTTGGGCCATTCTCCTTATGGAGGTTTACTGCAACACTTAACATAGGCCAATTTAGGAACTCAAGGGCTGGTGGGCAATTTATGTAAACACAACTTAGATAATTTTCAACTACCTCATTTTCACCTGCAGAAGCACTATTTCAGACTCCAGCTATTAGACATTTAATGGGAATGCTAGAATGTCTTTGCAACCTCTCTGAAATAATGCTGCCTTGACTAGACTGTCATCATTCCCTGAGTTAGCTCAGGGATTTGGGGGATTACTATGTCATTCAACCACAGTGTGGATCATAAATAGCCTCTTAGGCATCTTCTCCTTTCAGATATTTCCCCCAACACTAATGGCAAGTTTCTACAAAAGAATTCTGCCCCATGTATTTGATGTAGACAAAGGCAAAATGCAGGAGCGATTTTTTTCAAATTTTTGCAACAGCTTCCCAGAAAAGAAAATGTATCATAAAGCCAACACCACAATATTTCTCCACAAACTAAACAGAGCTCACTTGGTTAAAAGAAAAATAAAAATCTAAAACTGTGTGTTACAGCACCATCTGGTGACTTGTGGCATAAAAATGTCCCCTTTTATTACAGCACTCCAGAAATACAGGCATCAGCCAATTAAGTGTAAACAAAAGGTCTTAGTGTTTTTCATTCTTGCTGTTCTTCTAATGATAAAGACCATGGGCCACATTTACTCTTTTTCAGTTTACAAAACTGTAGCTACTTAGTTCAAAGACCATTTTCTGTAACACAGGCTGAGGTAGATTACACCCAAAAATTTAACCTCCAAACATGGCATAATTTTGGAACAAAAATGCAAGGATTCTCCCAGCTGAACAAAACTAGTATCAGTCACTGTAAGGTACTATTAAATCAGAGAGAGAACTTACAGCTTGGTTTCTAAAAGGCTTTGTTTGTGCAATGCCCAAGAATTCTTGCCAGTAATAAGAAATGGTAGCCGATGTACCAAAAAGACTGAATTAGTTCTCATAATCGTATGTCCTAGGTCTATTTGGTATACAAACCTCTTTCTTGATCCACTCAATAAAACAAGCTATCAAGGTAATTCAATAAAACAAGCTGTAAAGGTAATTAACATCACAGTTCTGTGACACAAATCATCACAATTTTCTTGGAGAAAATCTTTCAGTTAATCCTAACTGCCTTTTCTTATTATTTTCTCCTTTGTAAAATCCTCTGAAGAGGGTATAAAGTAGAGGTTTTTCTGTGCTGATTCTTCTTCTCCCTAAAGCCAGTGTCTAGGAATGTTCAGCTTGGAAATTTACCTTTAAGGTTTATGTTAAATTTGCTCAGAAGTGTAAAAATGGATTGAAACCAGATACAATGCTTATCATGGAAAACATGGTGAATGTTCTCAAACATACTAATCAGGTGTCCAGTAGTATATTGGTGGATAATGCACCTTCGGCTATACTTCGGTATATGTGTAATTTTGTAGATCTAATCCTTAACTCCAAACCATTGCTGCTGTAGATGACATTAATGAGATCTTGTAAGAGAGATGCCTGAGTCAGCTTCACCTCTTGTTTCCTACTCAAAATACTGAGAAAGAGGATAAATCATTTTGTTAAACATTCAAGTGCTTTGGCAAGGTCATTATCTTAGAAGAAATTCTCCTAGGGTTTTTTCTGCCATCTTTTGCATTAGTAGTTTCATTACTAACAACCAGGTTAAACTTTTTAAAGCATGACAAAATATGTGCAGAAATATTACGATCAGACCTAAAATTAAAAAAAAAAAAAACAAAATAGAGTTTTGCACATAACTATTTAGTGAAGTCCTAATTATTGTTTATTGTTTCTTCTATTGTTAATCTGCTAGGTTTGTTGTGTTCATTCCTGTAACCTGTCACACACAAAGTTATGGTATAGATTTGTGTGTGAACAGAAACCAAACAACATAGACTTAATTCTCTTCATTGCTAATGTGAAATTTATTTCTAAAAACAGACAGATTTTCTCATACTTACAACCTCAGTAGTCCAGACACAGGATGCGTGAAACCTAACACAATATAGCTTTGGGGAACACTTAGGAAAATGTTGTTTAACAACCGTTGTTTATCTTTGAGCTAATTTACATACTTATTTATTAAATATATATGATAGACGTGACCCCAAAGTAAACTTAATATACCGTATTCTGTTGGTTTAACGTCACATTCATTTATGTGAGAGTAACATGAAATTGCTATTTTAATTAATTGTACACATGCATACCAAGTACTTCTAAAATCAAAATACTGTTTCACAAATAATCTAGTATGAGTATGAAAGTGTTATTTTCCTTTCTACGTAGCAAAAATATTCCAGTCCTAATAAACTGATACACAAGTTCTATTACCATGATCCTTAATTAGCAAAAAAAAGATTCTATCCACGTCACTGTTAAATCAGGCTTTCTTACCATTAAAGCTTTTACTTTCTGCCTTTCAAACCAAAGTGCTTTCTTATTTTTAACATTTTACCAAAAAAAAAGGAAACATTAATAACTGCTTTTTCTTACTCAGGAGTCACAGTCCAAGTGCTTTCCACAGTCCCGGTAATGTTCAGCTACTGGGTAGGTTCCTACTAGTATATTTTGTAATTCCTATGTTAATTTTTTTTAAAAAAATAAATGCATCCTTCTATAAATTAGGTGATTGAAGTAGTCACTATGTCATTAGAGCACTGAAGTAAATGGGAAATTGTTCTACTGTGAAAAACAAAAGACAAAAAAATTGTCCAGGTATCAGAAGAGCCAGCAGAGTGTCCGTGTCCTGGCAAAGCTCCACTCTGGAGCTTTCTTGCTCCACTCACTAAGAAAGAATGAGATGACAACAACATAATTTCTTCTGGGGACCTTAAGGGGGTAGCTGGAAACAGGGACAGGGAATTTACACAGCATGAGTCCATGGTTAGCAGGTAGACATATATGTACATGTTCCATGAAAGCCAGACATCAATCAGTATTTTCTCATGAAAAAAACAAGTAAAAGATACATTTGTGGTCTTGTCCCACTTTCTTTTAAATGCGGCATGGGACTCATTGACCTAGAATGCTTTGAATCTTAAAATTCAGTAGCAAATTTAAATTAATATGTTCCTGCGTGGTGATCTTGAATGCATCAAAGAAATAAAAACAGTCTGAGAAGATGAATCATAGCAAAATGCTGTCCTAAATACATTCTCAATTTGACTATTTACCTATGTGTACAAGTTGAGTTGTTATATGTAAACAGATATGCTACATTAAAAATCATTGTGGTAAGCCCACATATAAGTAGTACCACTGATCTTCAGAATTTCTTGTTGGGTGACATATCTTTAAAATTTTATTCTGGTATTTATGGGAACGTTTTCCATTAAATATGTATTAGGGGGAAAAATGGGAAACTAATTGTATGGATATTGCAGCTCCCGTATTAGAATTATGACTGTTATCTCCTTCTAAATGTTAGAGAGGTTTGCTCAAGTTTTCTCTGTAGAATTCTCATGCTCCAGCATCTCACATTTCTTATTTTTCTCTCTTCAAGTCCAATAATAGGAGAGTAAATATTCATTGCTATGTTTAAAAAATATATGCTGAGGTTTTTGCATTGGGATAAACAAAAACAGAGGACTGGTTTACCCAAAAGACCAGATACTTAAGTGCATCAGGAATGTGGGCTTTATTACACTCTTCCTGAGCCGTAAAGGCAACAGCAGTTGCTAAAATATTCCAGACAAGAAGCAGAACTGCACCCAGAGGTTTTAAAGCGAGGCAGAATTTAGCCCTGCTGGTTTCCAGCTATTCAGAACTGTAAAGTAAACTTTAGGTTCAAACCCAGTCTCTGAATTATTTGCAGTGACATTTATCCAATATCTTCCAAAGGTGATAACATTTGAGAACTATATTTTAATGTACTATTCTGCTTAATATCTTACCAGGCCAAACCTCAGGATACTTTAGATCTAGCCCAGATACTAAATAATGACTTAGCTGCTACAGTAAAAAAGTACCCCAAGAGGTTTATCGGCTTGGGTACGTTACCTTTGCAAGCTCCAGACTTGGCTGTGAAGGAAATGCGTCGCTGTGTGAATGAGCTTGGATTTCCTGGAGTACAGATAGGATCTCACGTCAATGAATGGGACCTGAATGCACCAGAACTGTACGATATTTATGCTGTGAGTAGATGTTTCTTTCCTTATTTTGGGGAATTCGGTGATACGGAATTCTGTCTAAAAACATCTTGGGACATATTCAGTCATCACCTACATTTATAGGTACATTAAAACAATTGAGTCCTCTAATCTGCTCAGTGATCAGAGAGATTCAGCTTTAATTATATATGATAATTCATTATAGCATATAGTGACAATAATACAATATAAAACATTCTGAAACAAACTTTATAATAATGAATAACAAAATCTTTTTACGATATGAGTTCTCACGGCAGACTTGCCTTCTTGGTTTGTGAGGAGTAGTGCAGTATCAAATAAAGCATTTCTGCACTGTTTGCTTTGGGGTCAAATTACTGTATCCAATCCTATTGAGATATTGAGAAAACTCCCTGAGATTTTCAGAGATACCTATAGAGCCAAAGTACCATACAAAATTATGCAAATGGGACCAAAAGTTCCAAACTGAATGTATTGATTATAAAATGAATTTATAGATTGCATTTCTCAAATAGCCTGAGGTCCAGATGAGGATGGTCATTTGTCTAAATTATGGGGTTTAATCAATGTACATTCTGTATCTGTTTCACGGGTTATTATAGCTGTCAGCTTGAAATTGATCCATAGAGGCTATTTTTCAGAATGCTCAATTTATTCAAGAATCCTGTTAGTGCAGCACCTGGACTATTTGTTTTTGTGGTCACGCACAGTCAGTTATCAACTTCCACTCTTGGGGATGCGCGCATTCACAGAATCACAGCGTGGCTGAGGTTGGAAGGGACCTCGGGAGGTCACCTGATCCAAGCCCCTGCTCAAGCAGGGCCTCCTAGAGCCAGATGCCCAGATGGCTTTTGAATATCTCCAAGGATGGAGACCCCACAACCTCTCTGGACAACCTGTTCCAGTGCTCAGCCACCCCTACAGTAACAAAAAAGTGTTTTCTGATGTTCAGAGGGAACCTCCTGTGTTTCAGTTTGTGCCCATTGCCTCTGGTCCTGTCACAGGGCACCACAGAAAGGAGCCTGGCTCCATCTTCTTTACACTCTCCCTCAGGTAT